CGGTGGCAACAACCCGGGCGGCGCCGACCAGCAGGAACAGTTTTGGAACTGCGCCGACATTTACATTAGCGACACGTGCGACCCGTCCAAGAACCCGAACGTGACGCCCGTGCCCACGGACCGCCCGTCGCCCAACGATGGCGGGTCGAGCTCTGGCTGGGACGACGAACCCACGGACGCGCCCAAGCCAACGGCCAAGCCGACGCACGCACCGACAACCAAGCCCACGACCAAGCCGTCTCACAAGCCCACGACCAAGCCTTCCGAGAAGCCCACGAAGAAGCCATCGGGCAAGCCGACCAAGGCGCCGGCCGAGCCGACGGTCAAGCCCATTGATGTGACGGACGCCAAGAAGGCTTGGGAGCAGTGCGGCGGGAAGGACTACACGGGCAACACCGAATGTGTCTCTGGCACGATCTGCTCCACGCAGGACGAGTGGTACTCGCAGTGCATCCCTAAACGTCTGCGCTAAACCACATGTGTTGTTGATCAAAGAATATTGCCTGTATTAATTTTACGTTTTTCCAAATGGCTTGAAATGTTGGCAGATTCTCAGAGCGCGTAGTAGCCATGCTCCGCAGCTTCCTGCGCCGGCACTGCTACCACGAGTTGACGCTACAATGTCGCTCGTTCTTACCAACTTGGCTCGAACGTCCCCACGGACTCGCGTCTGGAGCGAGATTGTGCGACTTCGAAAATCCGGATACGCGATCCGTTTTACTTTGCGATGCTGCGCAATGTGCTGCTGATGGCGACGAGCGGTCTCGTGCTCTTCTCCAAAGAGTTTGCCAACGCGATCGCGCAGGTCCGTCGGTCGAATGACAAGTTGTGCATCATCCTCATGATGACGATGGCGTCCTCTAGCCCCGGCTCATTGGGTCGCTGCTCACGGCGATGCTCGAGTTTTCGGCCAAGACCACCGGCGCGCCCGTGTCCTTTATTGAATTCGCCAACGGTACATCCCCCTTGGACGGCCATGAAGAGGAAGGACATGCATGCATCCATAGTCGCCGTCACGATCGTGACCAACGAGGGCGCCAAGGTGTGCTGTGCCCTCTTCTTTGACCCTGTGGACGGCCCCAAGTTTGGCGAGTTCCTCGCCCACGAGATCTTGGCCGCGTTCGTTGACGAGTACGCAAGCGACCTCGGCAACATTGGCCACAATTTACGCGACTTTCACGGCTTCCATTTCAAAATCTCCGAGATCATCCGCGACGCGGTCAAGCCGATCCTTGCCACACGTACGACGACTACGTACCAGGTGCCTATCCAAAGCGTTCTCGTGGGTCGGTAGTGCAGCAGCAGCGCGGGATCCAGAAGGCCATTCTCGTCACAGAGGACGCCGTGACGCACGCAACCGTCGAAGTCGACCAGCTCGGCGTCCTAGTCAACCTCCAGTCGCTGCGCAACCTCGCCGCCAACATGAGTTGGCGCCAATGTGCAACCAACGAGACCGCTCATACATGGTGTAGTGGCCTTTGTCGGGGACAATGCACAGTCGGTGACGATCCAAGGTGCGCGCAACTGCAGCATCCAAGTCAGCGCGATCGAGGCCAACGCGACGCTGGTCGTGGCGTTCAAGAAGGGCGAACACGCGGCCAGCTGCCTTCTCGCCATCAGCGACGCCATGCACATGCTCACACGCGGTACGCCTCCTTGGTTGCTGCGTCGTCGAGCAATGGACTGCGTAGTCTGCCTCTTGCTCAAGAATTTACACCAAGCCACACGGCCGACATGACGCAATACTACACGATATACCATCGTTGATGTATCGAGTATGTATCAAGTGGGGCCGCGTCCAGCCGATCGCTTGTCGACGTCGAGGGGTTAGCTGGCTGCGAGGACCGCGGCGGCGGCCTGTGCTTGTGCGCGCAGCACCTACGGCGACGATGAGGCGACGGATGCAAAGGCTTGGTAGTGCGTACGCGGAACTCGTGCACCGGGAGCTCCTGGAGGTAGACATTCTTGGAGCCATTCGCGTCCTGGACGGTCCACTTGATGGTCACGTGCACGGACGGCGCCATGGGTGGTGCGAATCGCACGCCGAGCTGCCAGTCCAAATCAGCAAGACGACTTGTCGCGGTCATGGACGTGTCGCCGCGGACTTGGCGCTTCCACCGCTTGAGCAGCATGAGTGCAATCGCATCGCGGTGGCGAATGAAGCCCAAGGCGGCACGGAGACTGGCCAGACAGGCCTCCCATGCCGCTTCGTGGCGAGCCTGCACCTCGGATCCCATCGTCGCCAAAGGATACTGCAGCTTTTGAAGCGTCAAGCCCCTACGTGTATTGTGTAAAAGCACGTAGCTCGAGATCCGCGGTACAGACCGAACGATGAATTGGAGCCCGGCAGCGATACTGCGTGCACTATTCGTCGGGTCGCGGAGGCAAGGCTTTGGCTCCTGCATCATGCGATCGAACGATTGCAGTGCGTGGAGGCAGGCTGTACCCTGGCCATGCGCTCGAGCAGCGCGGCTGTCGGCTGGAGCTCACATGCGAGGCCCACCTGTACGCGGACGTGAAAAGGCCAGCAGCAGACGATGGCGCCGCACCAGGTCGTCGAGAAGTGCGCTGTGCTGCGCTGCCAGAGCGTCCAGCAAGGGCGGAAGCAGCGGCCAGCCTACGCGCAGGCGCTATCGCCAAGGCCATCGCGCGACGACGTACCCGTGCCACAGCGCAGGTAGGCTTCCATCGTCAACCAGATCTTAGATTCCCTGTCAGACGCGATGCATGTAATTTAACAGGGATCCAATATCCGGATGCAATCCCGCGGGATGACGTGGCAGCACTGCTGGCACCAAAGCACAGCGTCGACGCCGTGCCTCCTGTTGCGACG